TCTCTAACGCTGGTGTGTATTTTTGGCATGAACTGTGTTTATAGCTGCACTCTGCATAACATGGACACCTCCTTCAATTGTTTGTACAGGGAGCTCAGGATGGTGTGGACACCACCACCTATATAAAGAGGTTGCATCCAAACCCTTTTTAGCTCTTTTTAGGTCAATTCATGTTTCCACAGAAGAATGTACTGGTTTCCATTATGAGCTAATTCTCGGGGGAATTTGAGAAAGAATTTTCTTCCTTTGATTCACACTCTAAATCGTGTACTACTCCAATTTAAACAATAGTTTCTACAATCCAAAATGACCATTATGAGCTCCAAATGAGCCTTTTTTGAATAAATCTGAAATCTCACTAATGCATAATTCCTCCTTCTACTCTCAGTTCAGGAATTCATCTCAGGGGTCAGTGAGGCTGGGAAAGGAGACTTCAACTTGTCACTGTCCTTTTGATAACATCAAAAGTGTGACATGATTTTAAAAGATTTTCCAGTTGGTTTAGTAAAAATAGTTTTCCAAACATTGAGAGAAACTGTGTGGTTAGCCACCATGAATTAAAAATTGTACCAGGCTGGGGAAAAGCATGGCCATCAGGAGTTATCTGGAAAAAATGTCAGGGAAGAGGAGAGAAGACAAATATGAAACAAATAAAAACTATAAAGCTACAGATTGGCTATTTTCCCAGGAAATAATTTGGAATTTTATGTTCTAGGATCTAGTGTGGGAAAAACCCAGGTGTTTGCTACTGATTGTTCAACCATTTAGTCATTGCTAGGAAGGCATCTCCATTTCTCAAGCAGCCAGAAGTAATTTCAACACTGGATCAATACCTCTGACTCTAATGTTGGGGATATATTATATCTGGCAACCAGTTCTTCTCCTCAGTTTTTACTACCTGTGAAATTGGCAACTGATTTCACAGACATCATCAAGAGCAGGAAAACCTCCTGCAAAAGGAATGGCAAATTTGAAAATCAACCTACCTATTGTAGATCCCAGAACATGGCCAGCATAATAAATTTTCTGCTGTCCAGTTTTTTGCAGAATAAACTCTGTCACGGCAGTAAGATCATAGATGCCCATTTCATGGAAGCTGCAAATGTAAAGATGTCATGTAAAATATAATTTGTATGGTGTCCTATAAAACCCAGATTTCTCACTTGAAGCACAAATGACCAGGCTCAAAATATCCTATTTTGGACACATTATGCAAAGACCCGTCTCTCTGGAGAAGTCTCTAATGCTGGGAAAGGTGGAAGGAAAGAGAAGAGGATGACCAGCAGCAAAATGGGTGGACTCAACTACAGCAGCAGTGGGAGTTTGAGGACAGATAATCCTGGAGAAAATCTGTCTATGTGGTCACTAAGCCTCGACACCAATGGCACATAATCAAACAATCCAGTCATGTGCTTGGCCTCCCCCCCTGCAAATCATTAGCAAGTATATTTAACCATCTGCAAACAACAAATTGATCTGGAGGAAGAGAAGAGAGAAGTGCTTTTCAGGGCAGGTAATTGCTAATTGCAGCAAAACAAGCTTGAACCAAAATTTTAAATTAGCAATCACAATCGTATCTATGTTAGCCAAGCTAAATAAAAGTTGCATTTAGTTTTCCATGGAATCTATTTGTTGGTCTGCTTTGCCTCGTAGAGCTGACAGTTTCTCACTATGAAATATCTGTGTCACCCTTTGTGGATTAAGTCAACCAGGTCCACTTTAAGGTAGAGCTGAATAACCTGCTGTTATTTTGGGTTCTTCATCATGTGTAGACCTCAAGGAAATGGACAGAATGTAAGAAGAGATAAAGGTTTACTTCACTCTTGTTCCTCCTGGCTGATTAAACCTATGGCTAAGGAGGAGGATGAGCTTTCTAGACCATGCCATTCAGCCCAAAACCTCACCACTGCTTCATTGGTACCATCCATGAAAAACTACACCAGTATATTGAAGATGATGAATACTTCTTTCTATATGCCTAAATGAGGCAGTTGAGATCTCTACTGAAGAAATTATCCCTTAGAGCCAGAAAATCTGTCCAGTTTCAAAGATGTATTTCCTGGAAATATTGATTTAGAAGGTGACAATCATCCAGATGATACTGTTAAATACTAAATATAAATACTAGCCTGAAATTCCAAAATTCTGTTTCGTTAACTGTAAGGTGCTGGTGTCTTCTAGACCAGAAGTTTCCTCGGCTATTTCCAATCCACACGTCATGTCCAGCATCTGCTAGTATGAACCCCAGGCTCTGGTGGGGTAAATTTGCCACCCAGACACTACCTTCCATAGTTAGTGCATGCATTAATAGTATAGCAGACTTATTACCTGAAAAAGGAATAGCTTCTTAAGTCAGGGTCTTAATAATACAGTGCATAGAGTCAGAACGTGCATAAAACTGTACTGGGTGGGAAGTGAGATTTTGATACTGCTCTGTCTGCATGGCACAAGTGAAGGGGGTTGATGTGAATAAAGGGACGTGCCACTACTCCACTGCCCTATTTTCCAAGAACTACCCAGACCCCAGTTTTTTGTTTCTGTTTTTGTTTTACCTCCTGGAATTCTGTTCACACTTAGGTAATAGCCATCTTCTGTAAGGACCTCGTATTCTTCACAACAATATCCCCAATATCTGATTCTCTCACTCTGAAAAGATTGAAGGACAAGGCAATAATGTGGAATGGATTCTGGTGTAATGTCTTTGGTTCTTCACAGATGTTGGGACAGCCCAGGGAGGAGGGAAAGCATGTTATCTGCAAAATGATTTTCTCAGAGAAAGACTGAAACAGTCTGTTGTAACCTGGCTCAATTTATCAGGGATAAATTTAAAATATTAAAAAGTGCAGATGTTATTGAGTCAAGATCAGTTCCTGATGATTATATGGATATGTTTATAGTTTTCTTGGCAGCACTTGAGGTGTCCACAGGGTCTGGTAAAAAGTCAAGATGGTGGCCATGACAGTGTGATCAAAGTTCTGCTATTTTTTTTATATATGTTGCATGGCAGAGTTTCAATCCACTGTCATGGCCACCATCTTGACTTTTTTTGGCCACGACCTGCAGACAATCCTGGCAGCAATTAAGAAGAAAATTGCCATTGCTTTCTTCTGAGATGTTTTTTGACTTCTCAGTCTGTCTCTAACCCTGATAGCCTCCCATCCACACCTGGTTTAACTTTAACAAGCCCCAGAAGTAGTCAAGTGCTGCTACCCGCCTGAGGCAGGGAGACTATGCTTAGCCAAGAATATTTCACATGAAGCAGGACATTTAAGATGGTCCAGAATACAAGCTCCTTGTCATCTCAGTTATAGATGGAACTGAAAATGAAAATTGCAACCTTTAACCCACACTGAATGGGTTAAGAAAGTATTGTCATACCTCCTTGTTTCTTTGATAAAATATATCTTCCTAAATAACAGTTTCTGTATATCTCCATCAAGGTCATCTTCCTTACTTCCTACCTTTTGAATACACATGTATAGGATTACACAATGACACAGCTATAATGATTACTGATTCTAAGAGCTCCACTTACTATATTCATCAGTGATTTAGGATTCATAAATGTTTTGCTGTTCAACTCTTCTGAACTCACAATTCCTTGTATAGCTGTCATAGCAATCAGCATCCACATGGTGGAACATCTATAAAACAATGGAGTAATTAGCCATGGAGGAAGATATATACTCTTTTGCCGAAATATGTGTCTGGCTTCATACCAGACACACCCAATCAAAAGCACTATGTAAAAATACGAAATGAGAAATCGTGGCTAGTTAGAGACATTTCTTCTGGGGCAATAAATGGAGCGAGGCTGTACTTGCACACACAGGGGCAGCCTTTGAAGCAGCCATTAGGACTTCCAAAGGATACAGCTATTTTAATACTTTGAGGTAAGTGCTTCACATCTGCTAAGCTCTGCACAGTGCTCCTTTTGAATACTTTGTACAGCTCTGATATATGTCCATGAGAGAAGTGGATGGATATTCAGACAATCACAAAATATATTCATAGTACTGTTACTATACTGAAACAACCATCCATTTTAGTATAGAGATGTATTTAAATATAAACCAGCTAAGAAGGAACAGCAGGGGTGTGTGTGTGTGTGTGTGTGTTTGGAGAAACAAACAGACAAAGGAAGTCAGCTGACAAAAAGTTATATAATTAAGTATACATCAGAGAAGCTAAATTTGGAAGATGAAGGAAATGAAATCTTAATGCTTAATGTAAATACAATAATGATTATGGGAATAGACTGAAGATACTTTTACTACAGAATCTTGAACAATAGTTATATACCAAAAATCATATTGATGTATGGTGTGAGATATAAGATGCATTAAGTAAAAACATTCTGAGAAAGGGAATCTTTCAGACAGCATACCACTCAATGGGCAAAAGGTATTAATTGCCTAAAATGAACCTTAATGGCCCTTTTTATTTATTAGATTTCTCTATTAGATTTCTCTCCCGCCCATCTCCCCTACAATAGGGGACTCTGGGCGGGTTAGAGAGAGAATAAAACTATAAATATACATAAAATACACCCCATATATACAATGCTCTCTGTTGTGCCCTTGACAGAGAGAAGAGAGATAAAGATGCTCTGCGATACCCACCCACCCCTTGTTTGGAAGAATCTGAAGACTACAGTCAGTTACACTGGGAAGAGAGAAGGTTTATTCTCATCAATGCAAGGAGGAGCCCAAACGACTTTGTTCTGAGAACTGCTCCCAGGTGCAGGCACATTCACGTGGAGCCTCTGGGTGAATCTCAAAGACCCAAACATTGAGGCAAAGTACACATGACCCTCAAACCAAATTCTTGTATGGGACATAATGACCCACCTACCACATGCAGATTATGTGATGGCTGATCATTTTTTGTGCTAGAGATGTAAAATGTTTGTTTCCAATTATCCCAGCATCACCCTTTCAGTGATGGGATTTAAGTTGACTCTTAGGGGAAATTTTAACCCTTATTAATACATTTTTTTCGATCCGTTCAATCATGTCACACAATCACTAATAATCTTCCAGACAATTCTCTCATGATGCATCTTCTTAACTTCATTTTTTCCCCACTTTTCTTCCAGGAACAACCCAAGGTCAGATTATACAATTAAGAAAAAAGTAAACTTGAAGTCAGTCCACTCATTATAAACGGTGAACCTACTGCCTCCAGTGAAGGAAGAAAACAAAGCTTATTGTAATTTAAGACCAGGTACACTTGTTGTTTAACTCCTGTATACTTACATTTTCAATATGGGAAAGGTTCTGATGTGAATAGAGCCCCAGGAAAAGGCTTGGAACTTTATTATTAAATCTCTCATTCTTTCGGTGATGCCAGAGATTTGTGGATTAGATTTTCTGAAAGGATTTCTATATCTTCAAAATAACGGCTTTGCTCTGTTTATTCTGATGGTATACTTATATATCCTACTTCATTTAACTATACCTTAATTGGTATTTCAATTTTATTTTTTCAAAATAGCTCTAAAAACTAAAATAAGTAGACCATAGATAGATAGATGATAGAAGATAGATAGATGGATAGATAGATAGATAGATAGATAGATAGATAGATAGATAGATAGATAGATGAGAAAAAGAAAAAGAGAGAGAGAGAGAGAGAGAGAGAGAGGATAATTAGCAGCATAAATCCTTATACTATATTGGCATTCATATTAATTTCCCACTCCAACTAAAAGCTGTTTACCTACTCAAGAAATCATATAGGCACAAGTAGTAGTTCTACCTTTCCCTCAGCATCAATCAGATAAATTTGGTCAAAATATGTAGCAGATATATGCCAACACAACTGTCCCCAATCAATTTGGCAAGTCCCACATTTACTCTGAAGTTACAACATCAGCAAAAGTGATCACAAATATTTTATCATATCTGTGTTTGGCCTGAAGAGCACTTAGTCCTAAACTATTACAATGTTTTATGAATATGGACACCCAAAGTTAAACTGGGAAAGCTTGGGGTGAGGGGGGGAGAGGAGGAGGAGGAGGAGGCATTCCATGAGATAAATATCAATAATTAAATAAAATCCCCCCCCAAGGATTCCTCCAGCAACCATATATCCAAACTTTGATCCATTAGAGATGGATCCTTTTAGATATGAAAATTCCATTTCATCAATACAGCATTTTGACCAATACATTTTGATTGATGCAATGAAGCAGAACTTACGTTGATGTTGCTTTCCTTTCTTTTGCTCTTCTCATTTCAAACCCAGCACACAATAATATAGACCACTTATCGATGTCTTCCCATAAATGGTATTTTCTCTTCCTAGGCAACAAGTCTGGAAACTTGCCTTTATAAACAAGACACACCTTCCAGCTGCAGCAACATGCTGGGTGTAACAGCTGTTTCATCATGTCTACACCTTACTGGTTGATATCTTCTGACTCAATCTAATAGAAACACCTCTGTATCAACTGGATCTATCTTGTTATGCCAGCATAAAGTGGGCAGATCTGCACTTTCTGCTTTGCCAGTTGCCAGAATGAGCCAGTCAATGCTTCCTGAGAGCAGAAATTCATGATGTCTCCCTCTTATTCCCAGCCTAACACAAATGAACTCCACATGCATATTTTCCAGCTTTAATGCAAAACTGCTGTTTTTCGACCTGGTTTGAGGTTTGGGACCTCCAACCTTCATCCTGAAGGACTCATTCATTTGCTACAGTTATTGATTGCTATCTGTCCCACTTCTGATTTCAATTACACACTCAAACACAGTTGCTGTGGAGATTAGCAATTTACTTCAAAGTTAAGCAGATAACAGCAGACAAGATAAGATCACAAATCAACACAAAAGTCACTGAGGAAGAAGGGTTGTCTTAATGGTTTCACTTTAAACAGGAGAGAAGTCCAAAATCCAGTCCAGGTTCAGAGAGCCAAATCAGGTTAGTCAGCCAGTCCAAGGGTCAGAGTTTCAAGAGCAGAATCCACACGAACGTCAAGAACGTCATGCAAGAGCCGGAGATCAGACGGTTGCTTCCAACAAGGGAGCCTGGGTCAAAGCCGTCTCTTAAATCTGGCCACAGAAAATAATTCAAAAGGATTGTTTTCTGAACTGAGCAGCCAAATCCTTGGGGTGGACTTTTACTTATATTCACTTGAACTGAAGTTGAAATTTACACATAATGTGGGATTCTAACAAACCGGGATGAGATCAGCACATACACGAATTGGGGATAATGTGAATCTCCATGTCACTTACTACATTGTTTGGAATTAATTTTTGAAAAAAACATTTTAAGCATAGATTTTGAATAGCAGGCAGGTGTTTAGTTCCAAACATTTAGAGATCTGTCAGTCTCAAAAAAGAAGAAAAGTAAAAGGAATTTATTTTATTCTTCCGCTGTCTGAAAGTGAAAGGTCTTGTATGTTGCCTCTCTTTCTTAGCAGAATGTCTGAGCAAGCAGAACAAATCCAGCAAGGTAATAAGTTGATGACATGTTACTTGATTTAGAAGTAAAGTATGTTCCACAAATTCAACAGAATTGTTTGAGAACTTGAAACTCAGCTGAAGAGCAGCAGTTGAACTTAGACATACGTATACTGTAATACGTTGCTGACTGTTAGACAAGATGGAAGCAAAGGCTATAATTAGCTGTAGATCCTGAGGGATCTTTTCCTGTAATATTAATCAATTGATTCCTTGAACTATCTCCAAGATTAAAAGGTGAGGTTAGGGGAATGGAGGCTGGGAGTTTCTTCCAAACTTACAGAATTAGAATAACTTACTGGATGCTAAAATGGAGCTTTTCCATAGAGTATTTGGTGGTTAGTTAATTGTTACCTTTTAAATGTTTAAATGTAACTACAGTGTTCTTTTTTCCCTTATATTTTGACTGTCTTATTTTGGTTGAATTATTTATTATTTTCTATTACTATTATTATAGCTGTTATTATTATATGTTGTTTACAATTTTGACTCTAATGATACTCACCATGGACATTTTAAACAATTGTATGCTTTTATTGGATTGCTGTAAACCACAGTGAGTCATTATTGATTCAGTGGTTTATGAATAAAGTAGC